TGAACTACGAGAATCAAGCATCGAAACACGATTCTATGACCAGCGCAATCAAACATTGAAGGGCTTCAATCAAGGCGCATAAGTACAGTGTTGTCCTGTGAGGAATTATGTTCCGAACATTGCGTTGCGCTTTGGGTAGATTATGTTGAAATTACAAATTCAAGACTCAACAAGGAACAAGTTTTGAAGATTTTTAAATCGAGATGTTGTAGAGTGGAGGCCAGTGGCGATTGGGTGTCGCAGAGCGCGAGGATGCGCTATATATGCGCTGCAATCTATGTATAAGTAAATCAATAATAGGAGGCAGTTGGTACCCGAGGATTCCGTGGTGTTTCATGTAGAGAATTCTAAAAAAACACACGTTAGTAGACACCTTTCCAGTTGCTTGGGAACTATTCGTTGTTTTCGTCATTTTCTACTTTACTTGTTTTAAGGAGAGAGTTAGGTGCAAGATGCTAAATGCACGATTCATACCTTTTCTACCGCCTCATCATTTTCTAGAACTTCAAAACTTATCTGCCTATGTCATCACACCTAAGTCGGATAGATTATATTAATCGTGAAGAAAACGTGGAGAACATTCACTCACTGTAAGAGCATAAAAAGAGAGGTCAAAAGCTATCAGAAACGGCCAACAAGGCTACGAGGCGATATATAAAGACGCTCACAGTGAAAACAATTGGGGAAAAAAGTAGATAAAATAGTTGGCGCGGGAAAAGAACTTTACGAAGTTGCAATGGTTTTCAAATTTTGAAGCTTACATCATGAGGGAATAAAAAAGTTTCTAGGTGTCCGATGAAGGGATCAGCCAGTATAAAACTTCAACCTTAGACGCCTGAGATTTCTCAAGAAGTCCGAAGTCAGATCGACGCATACTTTAATTAGTAAACAGTGATGTCTTTTGAAGTATGATCATGTCATTTCCATGTTTGAGAAGGTAGGAAATACTATTTAAAAAAAAAAAAAAAAAAAAAAAAAAAAAAAAAAAAAAAAAAAAAAAAAAAAATAATTTCAATTTTTACCTTTTTGGTAACGCACTACCTCAGAGGAGATACTTAGGTTAATTTGACACGGCTTGGGATTAAGAAATAATGAAAAAAAAGAGAAGAAAAAAAAATCTGACACGGTACAACTCTTGCCAAAATACCGATCTTTAGACGTGCATAGTAAGCCTCGGGAATGTTTGACCCGGCTTTGCTTGAGCATCTCAGGGTTAAAAAGTGAAAGACGGAAAACTTTCTAGAGACGTACTTACGATAGTTTTCAGCCGATTCAGATATTTCTACAAAAATTATCAACGACCACTCACCTGAAACAGGAGAAAAAGCAAGAGGTTGAGTTAAAACAAAAATGCATTTTTTGAAAAAATAAATACGAAGGTATTGATTCTGAACACTTTATAGACAAGGTTTGTGAAACGTATGGGATACGTTTGTCTCAATAATCATTCATACGCCTTAAGTTAGTTATTTGGTTAGTTAGTATATTTTAAGACATTCAGCGTCACAGGCTATTAACGTCTTTACAGAGAATTTTGGAAATGGGAGTGGTATGCATCCAAGAGACGCTTAATTTTTTCATTGAGAACATACAATTAAGGACTAGTAATCATTATTCTTCTTTTTGCAACTTGCGGATTTACCTGAAACTACCTATAATTGTTAATTCATAGCAAAAACCTATCACAGAATAAAATACAGAAAAAACCGAGGGATTCCATTCCGAAAATAATTTTTCAGCTAATTTTATCTCTGGTAGAACATCCTCAACATTTCCTATTTTTAACAGCGTTCGTCCGCTAAAAGTCAAACGGCGTTGGTTCCCCCCCCCCCCCCCCCNAAAGACTCATTATACAATAATTCGACTAGTCATTAAAGCCCCGCATTGCATAAATTTTCGGGTCGACGTCCGAAGAATTTTCCCGGTTCAAGTAATTTCAGCTTGGGCACAAGCGATGAAACAAGAATTAAATACGCTTGGAGGTAAAATTTTGACGAGCTCCTCTGAAATTAGCGGGGGCGAAAAACTTAATGTCCGACCGCATTTCCTCCGCAAAAACAGTGGCGAGGCGTGAATGATCGATTATCGATATTTCCCCAGTTGAAGCTATCGTAAAGAATCGATTATTAAGGTGTCCGTTGCGGCACCCTGTTTATCGATCCTTCTCCACATGTTTAAATGTCAGATCAATCGATATATCGCAAAGCTCGCCACGCCACTTAGAGTTTCCGGTAATTTCTGAACTTGGAGTGATGACTCCTGTTATTTCAAAAAGAGGAATGAAAGTATACGGTTGTTTATTTATTATTTCCTTTTGAAAAGAAAAAAAACTGGAATTATTTTGGCAGCAGCCGGGATTTTTGGCGAGCATTATTTAACGAAAGCTTCTTGGAATCCAAACAGAAATTATTGTCATTATAAATACCAACGTCATTTCAATCATTGCGACAATCACGAGGAATACCTCAAGCTTGAAGTGTCAGAGTTCCTACCTCGAAAAGAAAATGTAGCAGGTTCAAAGACGTCAACTCAACTACAAGAACACTTCGCAAGATTAGAGGAAAGTTCTTGTTATGCTCCAGAGGGCATTAAGTGACTATGCGTACTTTGTAAGTAGAACGTGCTTATGCCTAGTGCTTGGAAAATTTACGAAGGTGGGCTTGTTGAGTGTTGAGATTACACAAATTATGCAACTGCGTTAGCGCATAGTGTCTTGATAATGATTCTTGCTACTGTCAGGATATTTTTCTCTTCAGTCGCCATGCTGATGCAAATTTTGCATCCGGAGGCATGTGTGTGCATTCAATACTTCATCCACGTATTCTGTATTCCGCAGAATAAGGAAGAAAACAATATTGTATCTGAGTATTAAGACTGCACTATTTATGTAAAGATTTATCAATAGGTCTTACTCTTCTTCAAGATATTGACTTAATTATGTGCAGAAGGCACATCAAGCTTCGATTAGGCAGCGTTTTAAAATCTGAGTCTTATTTTGAAATTAATGTTTTAAAAATTAATAAAATTTTGTTCAGATGATCATACCAATTTTACATCGGGGCGAAAAAAATTTAAGACGCAAACAATAATATCAAATATACTTAGTAGATTAGTTGTCTACAAAAGTAAATAGAAAGTTCCAACGAATTTAGTGGGCCACGCCAATTTTAATTGTATTCTTTCGAAAGAAGATAATGAGAACCTCAAAAATCATTATTTCTTCTATTATTGTCGCTTGAAACAGGGATAGTTGTCTCTCCAAAACTTAAAATAAACCAGCTTACAAGTAAATTATTCCTACCTCAAGACACAATAAACGTTTTAGTAAAGAGAAAAAATACTGATTAAGACATCTTACTTGTTCTGATTGCGACAATAACTTTATTCTCTGAATGCACTGAAGAAGCTGACTTCATCAAAGTACAAAATTTCTTGAAGGAGGCGCATAAACTTGCTTCGAACTGCGCACAGTCGAGAAATTTTACATCCTCCGATATTTTTTAAAATAAGTATAATTTTATTGTTCGAGCATTTCATCTTGGACAACTTTTCAAGAATCAATGTTCTCTTTCTTCTAAGCCTTTTTGATGGACTCCCTTTTTGTCCAGGAGATTTGTGTATTACAGGATTCGGTTTAACCTTAATTAATGGTAATTTAATCACTTAAACCATGAACCAATTCTGCGCGAATTGTTAGAAAATTACCAGAAAATCTCCGAATCTCGTATATGGATAAACCAGTGACAATTAACTTAACTAAACCGCATATACAAAATATAAAATTCGGCTGCGAGTCACCTGCACGAGGTGCTTCAAAGCGACAGATAAGCGTTGACACGGCAAGCGGATATCAAGTACTTCAAATTAGAATTTCAAAATGAACCGGTGTGGGAGGTGGGGAGGGGGTTCAGCTCGCAGGTCACTGAAACCGGTTATCAACGTCGCGGCTCCTCACGTCGAAAATCGGAGTCAAATCGGTCTCGGAGCGATATTTCGAAACGACGCGGAAAAAGTAACCGGTAAAAAAAAAAAAAAAACTAAGCACAGGACGTTGTTTTGAAGCACCCGTGAGCCGTGCTCAAACTTCAATGGCGAGGCGTGAATGGTCGATTGTCGATATTTCTCCGTTTGAAGCTACGGTAGAGAATCGATAATTGAGGTGTTCGTTGCGCACGCCTATCTATCGATCCTTTTTCACGGGTTTAAATGGCAGATGAAGCGATAAATCGCAAAGCAAGCGACGCACGCCACTGTTTCGACACTCCGCTCACGCATGTCCTTCCTAAAAGTGAAACTTATGACGGTTTCGATTCGCTGTTCCCGGAGAAAAAAGGGTCAGTTGGAAAAAAATCGAATTTCGATAGTCAATACTTCTCTCCACATTGTCTGGTTACCTATGACCAACAATAAACTACAGAGGAAAATGATAGATTAAACTATTTTCTTGGCTGTATTTAGCGCCAACGCGAGAACATGGTCGAACATTCACTCCAAGAAAATGCAGCGCTCGGACGGGCGCTTTATCATTGGCGGATCTAGCAAATTGGCAACACTGTTTTTCTCCATTTAAACCTGTGGAAATGTATCGATTCTTGGAGGGGCCAGGTGCCCCGACAAAAATCGATTATTTGACGTAGGTTTAAATGGAAATCTGTTGTTGCCAAATTGCTAGATCCGCCCCTGCGCTTTATCACGGCACTGCGCTGCGGGCTGATTGTTCAAATTGATAGACAAAGCTATAGACAAAGAAGACAAAAGGGATAAGGAGGGATCCTATCAGTGGAAGCGAGCAGTTGCAATGGACAAAAAGTAGGTAATAGACTAACAAACGGCACTCACGAAACACCCTATAGTTTAACCATCATATTCTCCCTTAGTCTATACGGAACACCCATGCCAACCAATAGGATCGCTCCATACTCCCCGTCTTCCTTGTCTATAGCTTTGTCTATCAATTTCAACAATCAGCTCGCTGATATGAGTATGGAAACCATAACTACCTGGCTTAAAAAACGTCCCTGACCCGCGACGAACGGTCCAGAGATGACACGCAGCTGTCACCCAAACACGACGGCTCAGCGCCGACCCATCAGCAGTGCCACTTCAATGAGACAAGTCACGCGACCGCGAGGCGTGACGTCACACGACGGTCAAAGTGGCGGCAAAAAGCACTTTCGGGGAGCGAGCACCGGGGCGCGAAGGTAAACACAAAACAGAACAGCGCAACCGCCCTCGCGCGAAGTCGAATGTCAACTGAGGCCGCGGATTGGCGTGGCGAGTGGCGACCGGCTAAAGAACGCCGATGTGGGGTTGCCGCTACGACTGACAATTGACCAATTTTCGATCAATTCGAGGGAAATTCTCTTTATACACGGAGAAAATTAAATTGCTGATTTAACAATTCAATTGCTAAAAAAGTGACTGCGGTATTTCAACGTAGATTTTACAACAAGAAAATGCTACTTTAACCACCCCAAGATTAGCTTGCAATAGTGGTTAAAGAAGCATTTATTTGTTGTGAAATCTACGTTGAAATACTTCAGTCACTTTTTTTAGCAATTGAATTGTTAAATCAACAATTTAATTTCTTCCGTGTACTGAAGGATCGTAAAAAGTTGGAATTATTCCCTAACTTTCCCAAATTTTTCTGACATCTTCTCTTTCTACGAACGACTACGGCATATCCCTGTTCATCCCTGAGCCATAGTTTCTGATTTAAATAAAAACTCACGTCACTGACTTTTCCAAAATTTTCCGGTTTTCCTTGACACCGGCAACGCTGGAGCAGCGAGACTAAATCGCGACGTTCTTCCGAGAGCGCAATGAGTGTGAAATCAACGACTTTCCGTGCAAAATCTGGCGGCACTGCTAACGAGATTACGGACGAGAGACGAAATTATGTGCGAGATGAGAGAGGATCAGACGCGGTCTGGTCTGGGCCGCCGCACAGTGAAACGAGCTGACAGGCGAGTCCGGACGAAATTTGGAAACTTTAAACGCATACAACTCCGTTTATACGAAACTTTGAGGTTCTAAAAGTGGTTCCATCGGTTTCCTCGTGAAATTTTCTTCTTAGAGCACCCCTTGAACTTTAAAATGTGATGAAATAAACAGCAAACTTTGCAGTTTTTGTCAAAAATGTCATGTCCGACCTCTCTGATTGACTCGACCCACTGTGCGCCGACCGCCGAGTATACTGCGCAATTGCGGGCGTTAAGTAGGTGCGTCTTGCGCCGCGCGACCCGTTCTTATCGAGTTTTTTTGGAGCTCTTTGAAATGTATTATAACATTATTTTATCTTATTATAATTATTAAGAGGTGGAGGGGAAGGGTGGAGGGCAAGAGGATTGCAACGACGAAACCTTAAATGTCAACGATCGCGATGCGAACGCACCGCTTAGCTGGACGCATTCACGCGTATAGCGTGAGGCGAGAAAAGTCAAAACGCCTTCAGGTTGCCGCGTATGCAACGCGGACAACCACAGAGTACGAATAGTTGTATCACAGCGCCGTCGTCCATTCGCGTGCCACCACGTTGCGTCCCGGTCGCATTGTGCGTCATTATTCGTGTAGAAAGTTGAGTGGTGACGGTTTATGTTAATTTATTTTTGCGTTGCTGATATTTTATGAGATTAGTCTGTTCTCCGCGCTTTGTTTACAATCATTTTCCTTCGTGAATATAACGTTGCTTCCTCAGAAACGAAACCGAATAGCGCCGATGATGCTAAGTTCTTTCGTTCTCTAGTGTCTGGACGGATTGATCCAGAATAAGCCTAACTACATTCGAAGTTGCTTAATTTTCCCTCGGGTTTTTATTTGTCAACGGGGGAGTAAGTGACTTTCAGACTTGAAATGTATAGGTATATTATTTATCATCTACAGCAAATTCACGAAGAGTTTCAGGACTTCATGCTCTCCGGTTTTCGTTAAAAAATTAATACATGAGATGCGACTGGACTAAATTTTGCAACTAGGGACTACAATTACTAACTAGGTTTAGAAACAACGCATTTACCGTTAGTTGCCTTATGCACGCAAGTGTTTTTACGGATGAGCCAGAAGTTATGGTTCCTGATTGCAAACTGGAATCCAAATTAACTGTTTGGTTAAAACTTGTTACTTCCAGCCATTCAGCATGACAGTGAGCGTCATTGACGTGAGTGATGAGAAATTGAGAAAACGGTCGTTGTATTTAATCTTTAGTTACGTAAAACGTGGCAAATATTTCAATATTGCCGAAAAATTGTTTTCTTCTTGTACATACACCTAGATATGTATACATCAAAGTATTTAAGTAGCACTAAAAATAAAGGTGAAAAGAATGGGTAAGTCTTAAAACTTAAATGACGAAGTATAGAGTGACGTAGTAGAAGAAACGAGCCTCATGGTAAATAGAACTTCATTAAGCAGAGAATGACAGAGTTTTAAGATCGAACCGCTTGTGTGTCTGCTTGATAATGTCAGAATAATTCGTGACACTGGAGACCACGATACAATACCCCAGAGGATCAGAAAGCTCTTCACGAGCGTAAATGAGCTTATAGTGTGACTAGAATTCCAAAGAGCTTCAAAATCCCGTTGATAAAAGGAAGAAAGGAAACGCTTGCATAGAGCTGGATCACAAAACGTGAATGAAATAAATAAGTGATTTAAGTCTTACATGTGGCGCGATAAATTACTTACGTTGCTTTACTGCAGGTAAGTATTCCGATAGCAGTAAATTTGCATTAAGGGTAATTGAAGAAAATAAAAGGGACCGTGCAATAACGGAACGTAGATGGAAGGAAGGGTAAAGAGATTCTTATTTCTCCTTCCTGGTGCAGATTCTGCCTTTGCAGAACAGCAACTTACAAATTGCGGGACAAAAATAGATTGTGCTTAAATTTTCGGTTGAAACTGTGCGATACGAAGTGAATTTCAGAAAAACATGATTACTCGAAAGAGATTTGTGACCTTCCGGCCAAAGTATCATAAGCGCCATGCGATATTCCAAAATTTTGGCCGCAATTTAATATTTTTACAGAGAATTTTTTGGTTGAATCTGTTTGAAAATTACACTGGAATTTATCGGCGACACAAAGAAAATTCGGTGAAATTTTCCTTGAACAATGTCTCTGTAAACAAATAAAAAAGCGGCGGAAATTTTTAAACGTCGCATTACGCTTCTGATACTATGGCCAGAGAATGACGATATCTAGACTTGGAAATTTTTGCCGTTTTTCATTTTTTGGAAGCCTTTACCCAAATTTAATTTTTTGCTGTGTTTTTGGTCTGATTAAGTTGTTCATGGTCGATGAAAAACTTAGTCCAAATTTCCAAAATCGACATCACCGTCGGTGAAGAAACACGTATAAGACCACCCTGTCTCCGTCTCAATCTCGTTTTTTGACGACACACGGTGGATCGAGTCAATTAGAGAAGTCGGACATGACATTTTTAACCAAAACCGCAAATTTTGATGTTTAATTCGTCAAATTTTAAAGTTCAAGGGATGCTTCACGATAGACATTTCACGAGAAAACCAATGGAACCAAGTTTAGAACCTCACAAATTCGTACAAACGAAGTTATAAGCTTTTAAAGTTTTCAAAGTTTGTCCGAGCCTTCCTATTGACTCCATCCACTGTGCGACGCGACACCCGAACGTCAACAATCCGTAGCTGACAACAGCGTCATCGCACGCGCGCGAACGGCAAACAAAGCGCGATTCGCGGACTGCGCGGCGGGTGCAGAATTTTAATTGCGGCGATTTTTCGCTCACCTGAAAAAACAGAAGGCTCAAGGCTCCCATTTCTACGACGCACACTAGAGCGAGTCAATCGGAGAGGTCGGACAAAATTTGGAAACTTCAAACGCTTATAACTCCGTTTACGCAAGACTTTGAGGTTCTAAAACAGGGTATATCTACTGTCTACCAGTTTAAAAAGAAAAAAAAAAAAAAAAAAAAAAAAAAAAAAAACCATAATTGGGGACTTTCGGGGACTTTTAAGGGTGTTTTTTCGAGAAAATCGGGGATTTTTTCCGAAATAGTAAGAAAAAGGGAGCTAGTTAGAGCGCTAAAAGGCATATATTTTATACGGCTAATTTTACAAGTCATGTTGAACCGATGAAAACATACGAAAAACCAATCAACGCTCCACTTTATTTTTCATTCCTGGTAATACCGCGCCGCCGCGGCTGATGGGAAAATTTGAAAATGACGGTGTTTAGGACGATTTTTGTCATTTTTTGGGGGCCTGGACGACAAAATTGGGAACTTTCGGGGATATCGGGGACACCCATTTAAAATTGGGGATAATCGGGGACATTGGGGACTTTTGGGGACCGTAAGACACCCTGTAAAAGTGGTTCCATTGGTTTCCTCGTGAAACTTTCTGCTAGAAGCACCCCTTAAGATCCAAAATGAAACGAAATATACATGAAAATTTGAAATTTTAGTCAAAAATTTCATGTCTGACGCCTCTAATCGACTCGACCCACAGTGCGACGCGAGGTGGTTTCGACTTCGGAAGCGCCTCGCTCATGGCGCGTATTGATTTGCACAGTGATTAATCGCCTAATCCCAATTAGGCGATTAGGGAGCCGAGCAGCGATTACAGGCATTCGCACTTGCCAATCGAATCGATTGTTAAATCGTTATCGAATGATCCTCATCGATAGATCCCTATCTTAGCAATGATTTTTATCGATCGTGGTCATTCGATATCGATTCAACAATCGACCCGCAGGATCGCGTTGCTCCGGACGATTGGGAGCGCTCATCTTCCGCACGCAGAGCCGTTATTCTGTCGGGATACGGAAACACTGCAAAATCCATCCACTCCGGGTTGTATAGACAAAGAAAAATGGTTAAAAAACTTCTTTTTAATTTTTTCTAACCCGAGCCTAGTCCTCCTGACAGTTTTTTATTAGGAAAACTCCCAAGCCGGGCCTACCAGCTTAGGCCCGTATCCGAATTACATTCATCTTGGCTAATATAGTTTCAAGACAACTTCTATACATAGGAGAGACATTGCGATACAAATCCGATAGACTGTTGACAAAAATGAACAAAAGAAGTTCTCAGGTCCTAAATTGGACGTATTTCTGCCAAACGGAACTATGTGCATTAAGACATAAGCACTGTTATGCATGTATTCTTATGGGTCTCAGAGCTCATGTCTTAAAGCACATGGTTCCGTTTGGCAGATATACGTCCAATTACACTGAAAAAAATAATAGAGCCGTAGAGACAAGATAAACTTGTTAAACCTGCC